ATTGTATAGAGTACCTGCTGGCCCACCAGAAATGTGTAAAATAAACAGATTTAGTCAGTTTTTATCCAAACCAAACCTATACTAGCCTACCCAGTTGCCTATAAAATGACAGACGGATTTTATAATTCTCACCGAATTAATTACAGTGGGTTAAGTTAACTTAATGTTGTGATCTAAACTTAGCCAGCCACCTGATAAATAATCACTACATAGTATAAAGCAAAGTCGCTTCCCGCTGTCTGCCCATATGTATGCTTAGATCTTTAAAACTACGCAACAGATTTTGATGCATTTTTTTAATAGATAGAGTGATTCAAGAGGAAGTTTTATTATATAATACATGCAGTATTGTATACCTTAAAATGTCTACAAAAAAGTCCGCGATAGTATATCTCTTAGGCATAATAACAATTTTTTATCCTATACTTTTTACGAGAAATAATAACTTATTTACGAAGCGATTTTCAGCAATATAACTAGGGCTGCCATCCGTCCGGGTTTCCCCGGATTTGTCCTAGTTTACGGGGCGTATTGGGAGCGTCGGGGCGGGGTTTTATTTGTAGTCCGGGTTTAAAAAAACCTGTTTTGGGTCGACAATCTTTTCTCTCTCAAAGATCAGCTCTGTCGCTCACGCTGTACGCAATAACAGCATTCGTTGCTATGGGGTGACAGCACTGACACTTATTACACTGGTCGGTCAAACATCCCTCGGATGGAAGAAGAAGGGTATAAAGACAGACTTGTGTCCGAGATTGAGATGTTACTGGATCAAGTCTCAAATTGGAGCCAACAAAATTTGATTGGCCTAGCAAAGACACAAGTGTGTGTGAAAAAGCTTGGGTGCTTAATAGATCTAGTAAGTATCTCAAGCCTAAATATCGGGTGTTACTTTACAAAGCACTGGTCCTCTGGGCTGGAGCACCCCAATACCAGCTCCATCCTCTTGACCGGATACAAAAGCGGGCAGTTTGACTTATCGATGATCCTGAGCTCACTGACGCGTTGCAACCCCTTATGCACAGACGGTACAACACGCACAAGAACGCAACTCCTTATACGTGTTGTACCGTCTATACAATGGAGTGTTTCAAGGAATTATTCAACCGGATGCCAGTGGCCAAGTTTCTCTACAGCACCACACACCGCAGAGAAGTTTAACGCCCAAAATCTGGACGCCTGGCGTTCGAGCATCATGTGTTTTTTTTTTTGCGTACCAGCAAGATCTGGAACGAACTTTCCTCAGGTTTTTTTTCTTATAGCTATGATATGGTTATCTTAAAAAGGCGGATGAACCTTTTCGTTCAGAGCCGGCAACGCATGAGTGGCCCTTGGTGCTACAAGTGTCCATGGACAGCAGTGACCACTTATTATGAGGTAGACTGCTAGCTCTTTTACCTACATCAACAAAAAAAAGTTGATTTGTGACATTTTTAACTGTTTTTTTATTGGCCTGTCCGGGTTCTGGGCTCCAAAATCCGGGGCTATCACACGTTTTGTCCTGGTTGAAACATTTTAGAGATGGCAGCCCTAAATATAACACTCATCCTTAACCAATTAAGTACCTTAAATACATTGTGCATTTAATGCAGATCAATTTGGCCATTTAAAGCATGTAGTTTAAATGAATATTTCGAAGATATTACAGATTTAAAATGCAGGTACATAGCGGTCCGACGCTACCGGGCGGAGGGCCTGGCGGCGCGTGCCTATTGTAATTAGGTATTGCAAGAATGTCATTGTGTTAATACAAGCCTGAGAACAAAAACTATAGTCTACACCGAGGCAAAGCAAGCCACTAGTAGATAAATAAAATAAGGAAAAGTCGATCTGCTATCTTCTCTTACACACATTGCCGACTGCGCATCCGGCATTGTAGAGAATACCTAGGCAAAGTATAAAATGAATAATATTTCAAACATTGCCTTCAAGTTTTTGGAATTCTATACTTTGCCCAGGTAATCTATACAATCCCGAATTATACGGATTGCCGGTAACATTTATATAATAAATATGTATTTTTGTTTTATTATAGTATTAAACTGCTAGATCTTTATATATAAAAAAATAGGCTTGATAGTAAACTGTTTAATAACACTGAACTAAAATTCATAAAAACAAAACTGTTTAAAATTAGGAAATATTAATTTCTCTTCGTTAATTTAACAACGTTTAAAATAATTTTCCAAAATTTGCAGTCAGTACTTATGCCAACAAACCTAAATAAAGGCGCAATTACACTTGGTTGTTAGCTTGCATACGATTGCCAATGGAATTCGGACAAACAACTACGTACGTGTGAATGAACGGAGTCAAGTACGGCCGTTTTGGTACAGAACAGCATTTCATTTCGTTACTCGATGCCGTTTTCCTGTCAAGTAGTAGTTCCAGATATTTTCCCTCCAAATAACCCCCAATAATGCTTTTCCCGAAATCTGGCATTACTAAACTACGTTCTAATTTGAACGCGGGCGCACGGTTGTTTGCCCGTACCCAAACGTGAGTTAGTTAAACAATGTAATTATATTGCATCGGGTGCCCGAAATCGAGTAATTTCTTTCGTGCCGAATACGGGCTAGGCAAAGTGTAATTGCGCCTTACACGTGAGTTGCGGTTTACACAATAATTACGAACCTTCTATTACTTTAAACTTGAAATTTACGAAAATGCTAAAATAAAAAAAAATCTTCATATATTTTTTTTTATTTTAGCATTTGACTGTTTTTTTTAGGAATTTTGCATTCTCTTGACGTGATTGCCAGTTTATAGAAAATTAATAAAGAAAATAATTATCAACGACTGGCAACTAATCTGGCTACAATATTGTCATATGCTCAAAGCAACAGAAAGCAATGGCCATGTGTGTTCAAAAATTAACTTCTAATTTACCTACTTCAAGCTGTTGACCCCGGCTGCATCTGCAGTCATTAGGATTTATCAATTCACATAGGCCAGAGCCCTGGTTTATGCTAGTGCAAGTCTCACTTTTCTATCCATAGGGAAGGCTTTGCATCAGCAGTGGGGAAAATAATAGGTTGTTTTCAGCACACGCCGGAACCGTCACAAAAGTATTTTTTTTTTACCACACACCAGAAGAATGTTCATGATTCGTTTTCGTGGGATGTTTGAACACACCACAAAATGAGGAAATGGTGATGCTGTGTTAAGCGATGCTAAAGTATTTGGCGAGATAAATATGACTATGTTAATGTATATTATTATATTTCCTGTCGGAAGTAACATTTTCAAGGAGAAGTCATAAACCTTTCCTTGTGTCTTTGCCGTAGTTGAGTGATAATGCAATCGATAAATATACTTTGTAATAATGCAATCTGGCATCAAAGTTTCTTATCCTCGATTGAATAACAATCAATAACTTACCAACGCTTACCTACGTGTTGTGAAAATTTATTTATAGACTTAGAACGTCACTTACGCGGCAATAAAGAGTGGACAAAAAGTTGCCGTGAAATGGTCGAATTAATCGTACCTCGTTAATTATGTAATAGGCCTCAAGTTCAAAGATTAAACCGACGACGGTTATTTGAGCGGAACAATAAAAAGAGGCCATCAACTTGACCCAGATCGATGTCACACTCGGTTGAGAGGAAGGGCCTTGAGGTTATTTTTGAGGGTACGCAATGTAATGCGGAATTCCGAGATTCACTTTCTAGTAAAAGTTGACAATTAGTATTGGTTAAGTGAATCTGTGTCAATTTTTCATAAATAATAATCAGATATTATTATATCTGAAAATATATAAAAATAATAATCAACATCTATTCTACCGATTACACATTACAGTAATAGTCCGGTCAATTTAGACATGCAAAGGTGCATAAATACCCATCAAGCTGAAAGTTTCTAAACAATTGTTCTAAACATAATCAAAAATAACATATCCATATTCCCCATCGTTCCGGTGCATGGAAAAAAATACTCGATGTCATAGGTCTAAAAATGGGGTGTTCGCTTTTTTACCAAAACGGTAAGACTTATCGTAAAATTATCTTTGAAAAAAAATATAAATCATAAAATTATCTAAAAAAAAGGTATAAATATAGTATAAAGTTGTCACTGCGCCGTTTAGATTGATACTGGAATGGCGAAAATTGCGTTCTATTGGTATATGCACTCTTGTAAGGTTTTTTTCGATTCTAAAATAATATAAGCGTTTGTAGTAAGATAGATGGCTGGTAACCTGAAACTATACCTGCTACCTGAAAAACAATGCAGCAGTCCTGCTGTAAGAAACTCCACAGTTCAGTCAGCTTCTATAGTACAATTTCATAACTTTATTGCAACTATGTAGATTATCAGTGTTATGAAATTAACGAATAATTAAAAAATCGAACAAAAATTAATGGAAAATAGAACTATTCTAAGCCGATACAGCAATTAAATGCAACAATGGACACAATCTACGGAACTGTGTTACTATTCTTAGTCTTGATGCTTTACTAATCAAGTTTGGTTAAAGCATTGTGTAAATAGGTACTATGCGATGCGTTGCGATTTATTGTATGAATTACTTAGATAATATCCAATGTGGAAACAAACAATCGTGATGATAATGCATTAGAAAAACCCTTATTACTATCGGATCAGTTAGTGATTTATTAATATTAACATTTTCTTTCTTTCTTTTCTATAGCTTTATTAATTTTATGTACCTTTTTTGTAGCGGTATTTAGATCAATCTCTAAATATACTGAATTTTGTGAAAAATAATGTTTATGTACAAAAACGTAAAAATAATTTTATCTTAACTGCAAAAATCCAACATACTTTACTTCAAGAAGCCATTAACCTTTGCTTAGAAAATTAAATAAAAATTAGTTAATCCGTATCGATAAATCTGAAGTAAATTCTGTGTTTAATAAATACTACAAAAGACAAAATCATTAATTTCAGCGTACTCCACATAACTCACTTGATGCTATTGTATCTTTCCACGCTGCGCTGTCAAATATAATTATAATAAAATATTCCATTATTCACAGAAAAAACCGAAGAACTGCTGCGAATGGCTTCGGATGTTCTTCGACATCCGTTTTGTGAAGGAAACCCTGACGGTGGCCTTTAAACATGGCCCGAACAATAGAAGGCTGCGGGTCATAATGCTCGTGATCGTACTGTGTGTTGTCATCGGTCCTATATATGGTGAGTTCTCGGTAAACTAATTATACGCATGCTTAGTTCTTTTAATTTCCTATCTGATTTGAATGGTGTAAAACTGATTACATCTTTCATTCATTGATAACCAATGCTGGCGCAAAAGGCCTCCCTTAAGGATGGAAATTCCAGAAAGGACTAGTTTCTATTCCATCATGGGATAGAAAGATTTTGCCGTGATTATGCGGGCTTGTGTGGGTTTGTGGGTGCTAACGACTGTAGATGCAGCCGCGACCAACAGTTTAACGTTTCTTTGGAAGCACGGAGGAACTCGTGATAATATTTATTTTGCCACTTATCCTAACGTATCACGTAATCGGTTTGCCTTTCACGATTGTAAATTGAACCCGTTAAAGAGCTTTACATTTATGGGACTCTTGATTTTCATAACATTCTGAATATATACTATCCTACTAATATTATAATGTGAAAGTTTGTGTGTTTGTTACTCGATCACGCAAAAACTACTGAATTAAATTTGGAGCACATATAGTTAATGACCTGGAGACAGAACTTTTTTTAAAGCGGAAAAGGGTCAGGTTCCTGAGGGATTTTCATAAAACAAATTTAATTTTCATAAGACACGGGCGGCCGCCAGTATAATAATAAAACATTAACTTTACTTGATACCTATATTAAAGATTTTTTTATGCAATATATACAAAATGACACACTTATTTAATTTCAAAACTGCGGCTTCGTGTGATGTGACAGTTATATGTATTTAACATGCTATTGAAGTAAATGAAGCAACGATTTAATTCGATCGTGTCTTGCATTTGAATGGACGCATTTGGCATTGATTGTGCTCAAATTGTTATCCGGAAACGATAATAACAGAAGTTAGCTCATCACCTAGAATGGATCCTGTTATTCTTCTGCCCGTAGATAAACATTTTATGTTTTTGGTTTGCTCCGAGTCCAACATAAAATTTAGAATTATGATAAAGTAGCTAGTTTTAGCTGCTCCGCCTACGTAGATTGATTGGTTCCCTATACACAGCACCCCTTTTTCACGCCTGCAAGATTATTTTTGCTCCAATAAATTGGTAATGTATGTCTTTTTCCAAGATTCTCGTAATCTCTTATGTAGGTCAAAGGAGATTGCTCAGCTTCCATACATGTTTGGCCTAAAGACCAATAATCATGAAAAATTGTTTGCTACATTCGAAATTATATATAAATTACTATAGAAACGAATATTATTGACGGACACCCCTGAGAACTTCTAGAAACCATATACACTGAACATATTAAAATAATAAAAAACAAATAAGTTATAAAATAAACTAGGGAAATCAAGCCAAGTACCGAAATTATGGATTAGATTCAGGTATATAGAGCATGTAGATTAACAGATAGTTAATCTACATGCATGCCTGTTTTTAAAGTTAATGCATAAGAGTAACTTTTAAAATCAGGTGTCATCTAGGTATTTCCGGTTATAATAAGGTACTCTGTAACAGAAACTGTGTGATGATTGTGAATGAGCCACAAATTAGAGAGAATTTTTTAACTCTCGTTAACGAAAGAAAGCTTTAGGTTAAAAAGCCATATATTCAGTAGCTTCATTATTTTTGTTATGTTTTTAATATAACCATATTTACGATTTTTAGTGTATCTCACCTTATAATTTTATTTATTTATTAGTTTATAGTCAGGCAACGTAGGCCCATAGATAGATACCTTAAAATCTAACATTTAAACAGATTATAATGTTTTATGGAGGTGTTTGGCGAAAAATGTATGGCAATAGACTTTATGATGTCGCCTACCATCTATAATAATTGTCTGAGCACATTTGCATGTAGTGAAAATGATAATATAGTTGTGGATATTAATACCACAGTGTAATAAAAAAAAAATATTTTATTGATTTTTACAAAAAAGATTTGTTTTTATGTTATATAAACAACTTCGATCAGTCTTTGGCTAAATGTTATTACACCCATAGCCATTAAAAATGATTCGTATGTTTTCCAAACCGGTAAAATTAAAAGTCCTTTTTAAATTATAAATTTTATTATTTTTAAAGCATGTAACTGCTTGATGTTTAAATCTAAAGAAAATTTCATTTGCATGCATTGCATTCGCCCGGATTGCGAAGGGTGCGGGTTCGAGTCCCGTCTGCTGCCTGGTCCGCGTGGAATTTTTTCTAGTTATATTTTCTTTAGTCCTTTTTAAAGTTAATATATTATACAAAGGTGTCCGTTGAAATCTAATGACTGTAAATTAAATTATAAATTACGCCAAGAATTACCGTGTATGTCAATATTTTTTGTGCATTTGGGCCAATTTGAGCAATCTCCTTTGCTTCTTATTCCATCCACAGCTCTACGGAGCCCTGTAATCTTAATGAACGTCAGAAACACAACATAAACCAAAGCTTATGCTTGTCATGGTCTTCTGTGCGGTTGGAGTTGCTTCCCTCGGGCGGGCTCTCCAAATCCAGCGGGTAATCCGCCATGCCTTTTATTAAAATTATAAACTACAATTCATCAACATTCAGCTGTTTAGGCGCTAAAACGTCACCGACAGACAAACTAACAGTCAGGGCTTTCGAATTTATAATATTAGTGTTGCCGACCTCTTTTATAGATTTAGTTTTTATGGTTTTTTGAAGTGTTTTTAAAGTATTGACATTTTTATGATTTTGCTATAAAAATTGTTATTGTGTGTCATAGTCTTTGCTTGTCATCAGCTTAAATATTGTTTGTGTTTTACTATAAAATCGTGTTAATATACCCATTGCGTCCTAAACCCTAGCCTTCATATTTCATCCCACTAGCTCTCCGCTTCAATTAGTATGGAAGTATTCTCAGTCAATTTCATTAATAACAATACAGTCATTCTAGGATGTGAATTGACATTGACTGAAATAATTACTATTCCTATTTTGGGAAACAGGAGTAACAATAGCATGACGCAACTTGTTTGAGTTCAATTGCACTTTGTATGTGTTATAAAATACAAACTGCAAACAATAAAAGGTTTAGCCTTGGCATTGAATTCTGTTTAACCAGCCAAGTTACGTGTTAGTTACGGTGACAGTGGCACTTTCTATTCAAGTTTCACTCTCTGTGAACTCCATTAGAGTAGTGTCGTATTCAGGTAGGCTTCATTTGAATGTGGATTTTCCATAAGCAATGGCGCAATGTCGTTTGCAATGCGGAGCTTCTGTGTCCACAAGAAATTGTTGTGATTCGAGAACGTTGAGCTCTGCATTGCATCGTAAAAACTGTTAATGGATGATGCAGAAGTACATTGTTATTGATGGAAAATTTCAAAATAAAACAACTAACTGGTTGCATATAAACAAACACATATTTTTATACGCGAGCTACGAATTCGGGTCACCCTTATTTCAATAACCAACCAAGTTTCTCCTTTGCTATAGTAATTTTTATTTTTATTTATTTATGTAATGTAATGAGTCGATTCCAAAAGATATTTCCATTCTTCTTTTTGACAGTAGATGAAAATTTGATACTTCCTTGCGGCCTAAGATATACATACTAGAAGTTTGATACGTCCATCTAAGTCTCTGTATTCCTATCGGTACAAGAATGTTTAATAAAACTGATTCTGTTCTTGTGTCTTTTATAAATTCTGAAGAAAATATTTCTATCTGTTACGTTACGTCTAATAACTTTGATACATAAGTATAGGTATATAATCACATTAATCGGGAAAATACTTGAAAGAAGTGAATCGAGGGCATTCATGTAAAGAAATAGTTATTTATTATACAAGAGTGGAAAGTTCCTTTTTAACCGCGTGCTCGATTTGGATGACCGAGCAAGCGAAGGATTCTAAAGTTGAATCACGAGCGCAGCGAGTGATTCTAAATTAGAATCCTGAGCGTCAGCGAGGGAAACAAACGAGCACAAGGTGAAAAATCTTTCCACTCGAGTGCAATACGTAACTTTTCATCCCACCTCAGCGAGGAAATGACAAAATGAAAAAGAAAACAATTTATAATGACAAAATATTTTTGTTCGACATGCTCCGGTTATACCAATAATAAGAACAACCTGTAACAAAAGAAGTATTTATAATCGTAAATAAATTAATCAAATTAAAAATATTGTAAGTACTATGTACAATTTTATCAACAACAAAAAATTACACGTATTGACTTACTTTTGCCGCTAAATATACGGAATCAGGTGCTTCATTAATAAACTTTGCAATTTCAGATGCTGTGAAAACCTTCGATTTTTTTGGTTTATAACCAGATGAGGCTCTTTTTAAAAATGCCACTAATTTATGATAGGTGTCGATATGAACGTCTTTCTTCATCTTAATTGTTAATTTTAGCATTGAATACGTACTCCATAGCGTGCTTGCTTTCTTGGTCTCAGATAATTCTATAAAATATGGCAGCAAAACGTTTTCGGAGAAAGTTTTTGCTCCTTTAGCTAGTCGCCACATGTTAAATATATCGTACTGTTTCAAATACTTCTCTCGTGATTGCTGAGGGAGAAGGCTCATTTGCGCATTATTAACTGTTTCAGTTAACTCAGTTGGCGTTAGATAAACTTCATCGTCGCTAATGTCACTCATTTTAGTTGATTTTTTTGTACAGTTTTTAGGTTATGTTAATTATATTAAGCAATAAAACGTGAAAAACTAGAATGGCGCGAAGCACGCAAATAAAACAAAGAAACCAAGAAGGTTCCAAATTTAAATTTTTTCACAATTTAAAAAGTTCTAATCATAAATTTGGCACCATAGAGGTTACATTAAATAGGTTTAATGACGTTTTGAATTTACAATTATATTGAGTACTCATTATATGTGATGTTCTAAATTCAAATCTACTTTGCCGCTCAAGCGAATAAAATAGAATTTTCCAGCCAGATTTCGAAGCGCAAAATTACACTTTCCGAGGTGGTGGGATGAAAAGGTATTTTTTTTAAAGTTTCAATATTTCGATGCTTTATTTCTGAAAACATTGTAATATTCTTCTTAAAATCGAAAGAATTTTTGTCCTTGTTATTCTTTTGGAAGTTCTGTTATTCTGAGTACGTTCTTTTCTGGATTTCATTTCTCCCATTATTTTTTTATGTATCACACATAACTTTTTAAAAGAGTAGTCCGATTTTGATAACTTCGATGTTGGTCTCATATAAATTAGGAAAAAAATTTTTTTTTAGAGTAGCTCCCCTACATGTAAAGTGGGGGTGAGTATTTTTTTCTATTTAGGGATCCATTTGTGAAATATTAAAGCTTAGAGTGCAAAATTTTGTTCGAGTAGGTCCCTAACCCAAATAGTAAATGGGTACTCAGATCTATCAGACATGCATGGCAGCGACTCCAAATATTTGACTAAAGATAAAAAAAGGTTTATTATTTTTTTGCTTTTCATATTTTTCGGCGGATTAATTTTTTTGCTAAAAAGTTTTTATGTGAATTTCTTTTCGTGCTTACTTTAATAATCGCATTTTTTCCCATATGTAAGTTGTTTAAAATTGTCCCTTATTTTCTTTTCAGGGGAAATGTCGGTGATGTATTTGTTCACTAGATATCGCTTCAACTGGAATGAGGTCGACTTCAGTATATTTTCTACATACTCCATGTGTACGTCGTTAGTAGGTAATTATGCATAAACATTGATATTCTCTTCTCAAATTTTTTTTTTGTTACCCAAGGTTCAGCAAATTTGTTCTTTTTACCTGATGTTAAATGTAAGTGATCTCAGTCAGCTGTAATGATGACAGAAATATCCTTATTATTTTATGGAGGCGAGCCATAACTTACTACGGAGGTCGACCATTACACACCTCGGAGGCCGGCTTTATCCATCACGCAGATGGGCCAAAAGTTACTTACTATAAAGACCCAATGCAGATTGGTGGCATCTACTACAGACTGCCGATGGATCCAGGACAAATAGTTTGATGTGCTTTTCGAAGTATGCAGATTCGAGATAGTAAATTAGTGGTAACCCATTCGGTGACAAGCCATTACGAAAGTTGATTTACTTGCGCAATCGTAGACCGAACGCCTTCGAGCTCCGCCACGCTACATACTTCAATTATTTGCGAAGTGATTATTAATATAAAGTTCGTTTTCAGGGACATTATTTTCAGTTGGAGTGTTTAGCCATCTTCTTAAATACGATGACGCGATAATCGGAGTGATTTCGTGTACAAGCAAAATCTTATCCGGCTTCATGTACGCGTTTGCCACAAAAACTTGGGAAATATACATAGGTTTGTATTTCGTTTTTATATAAACATAAGTGTTGGACAAAAACTCTTTGGAATCATAAAATTAATATTGTTTTTGCACATATTACAGGGCCATTGATTGAGATATTCAACGGGACATCCTTCATTGCAATGAGGTCTATGGTATCCAAGTTGGTGGATAAAGATGAATTGGGTAAGCTATTTATTTTTATTCTAGTAACGTTAGCTACTATATCTTCTGCAAGGAACATATAAGTTCCTTGATCTCCTGTACGTTCAGTGCAAGGGCGGATCCAGCTTTGGCGCCAGGGGGGGGATCATATAGTCGTGAAAAGTGATCTAACAGTAAATTGGGAATTCATATTTGAAGTAAAAAAAACGGCTACGTGGCTATTGGAGTTAACGCGGTGAAATTGTTTTGGTGAAAGATAACGTTTAAAATAATCAGGTAATGTACCAGTTTTGGAAATAATGTTTGTAGTTTCTTTTAAATTGAATAATTAACCCAGATAAATCACTTAGCACGAAACTTTGAATTAGTGTATAGTGATATAATGGAACTTATATCATTTTACACCACACTTAATTGACCTCAGATTAACAAGTGTAAAGTGTTACATATTATGTTATTTCTGTAGATATTATTTTGTTTCGTTACTTTAAAAAAATCTTGTAAAACAAACTTTGCTAATTACTGTTTGAGGAATCATTATTTCAGGTTATTTTAGGGCTAATCGTCTTAATATTGTTACCTGATTGCTTCCCGTTTTGACGGCATTGATTACAGAGACATCATTGAATATATGCTTTTTCATTGATGTGATACGATCGATTACATTTTTGAGTTTATCACCCGGACTCATTCAGATGCATTTACGATTTTGGGACTTCCTAAAGAAGGAGTTAATCATTAAAAGGTTTTCTTTCTCATAGAAGTCAACCAACATCTGACCTCTTGCATTCCTTGGCCCAACTCCAAATTGCCTCATACTCAACTCTCACCGCAACGCTTCCTCAACCGAGCGTTGATGTCCCTCATCACAACCGTGTAGTAGGTTTTATGGCCTCTACTTTGTGATATGTATGTATCGAGGTCAGAGCATACACCTGAATGTCATTCAACGAATATCTTTTCGATATTTTGATTTTCAATTATGCTACCCTGGTCAATACACTTCCGATGGTCATGCGCGGCAGACGTTTAGGCTAAGTTACCAATTAGATACAAAAATAGCAATTTTTTCGGAGACTCAGTCGAAGTCGAGTTACATCACTTTTCACTGAACATACAAATTTTATCCATATATATATTTTTACCTGACCTGATGTTAGGTGTAAATGCAGTTAAATTCCAAACATGGTTATCGTAGATCAAAATAATAATATTTAGGTACACCACATTTTTTCTACAATAATTATTAATTTGTTTAGATCTGAAACTGAAAAATTTAAAACCATTGGTGTAATAAATGAATATATGTGTAATATAAACATAAATAAATAAATATAGTTGAGAGCTATCACGTGGCAAGAAACTAATAGGGGAAACAGTATAGTTATTGGTCATTTAATTTTAGTTATTGGCACTCGTTTTATCTCACTCACGTCACGTCATTCCCATTTACTATGCCAATTACTATGAGGAGGCCAACAACTGTATGGTTTCCCCTACCATTTAACTTTTTTTGGGGCTCCGTCCATTAGCTGGTAGCATGTCATAAACCGTAATAAGTACAGTAGTGTCGCCGATCGATAATCGGCGATCGATAATCGATGATTAATCGATAGTCTATCGATAGCCAACCAATCGTATAACAAACGGACGGCTTATCGATAGTATCGATACTCTCAATAGTATCGATACTATTGATAGCACAGAACAAGCCAATACTATCGGACGAGTGAAATACTATCGATAGTATTGCAAACTATCTTTAGTATCGATACTGTCGATTTTATTTGCAACCATACTATCGATAGTTTAACAATTGCAATAGCATTGTTTACAATTTTCTGGTATTAAAGCCAATCACAAACTATAGTCTAAAACAATTGCTAGTATTAATACTATCGATAGTATTGTTGCAGATGCAATCATCAGAATCAATAGTATAAATACTATCAATAGTTTGTTATTACAGAACTACAATAGTAACGATACTATTGCACTATTGTTGCTATTTGAATGACCTATTATCTAATAGGCCAGTCTAAAATTAAAAAAAATGAATACAAAAATTAAAGCCGCCTTCATAAGATTTTTTTTAATGAAGTGCCATACTTAATCATAATTTTTTACAAAAGTTTTTCTTCTATCAAGTGTTAAATCGCGCACATTCATCTCCTTGATAGTTTTTATCTTAAATACACTTTGATCTTGTAATTGAACAGTATATAACTACTGTGTTATATGTAATGGTTTTTACGTGTCTGTTTCTTATATTTTTGTGCACACTATTTATTTTATAATTACCGGGTATTTAAGCACGTACGTACTTCTATTTAAATTTATACATAAGGTTATGAGTTCACGAAAATGGTCTTGCCATCGTAATGAGAAAAAGGTCATGTGACCTGTAAGTAAATATAAAAACGTTCAACATTTTTTTTATATTTTCAAGGCAAAGTGAACTCATTCTTCGGCGTCGCAGAAGCCATGATGCCACTGGTGTATGCGCCGATGTATACTACAGTGTATACTGCAACTATAAAGACTTTCCCTGGAGCTTTCTTCTTACTCGGAGGAGGATTAACTGTGCCGGCAGTGGCTATTTTCTTGTGAGTACATTTTTTTTATATTTGTAATACACAGCTTATTACCCTACCACACCTGATGCAAAAAATAAGAATGAAGCCAAAACAATGCGTTTGCGACGCCGATCGCCAAAAAAAAATATCGCAATGGTCGGCAGCGCATCGAATGATTCCGCGGTGCATTGTTCGTAATTTCTACAGTGCAAACGAAGTGTTGTGACCTCGCCCTAAGTGGAGTCCGGTCGCACAAATTTATTTTGTAAACTTATCCTTTCTGAATGGGTTATATATTTAGGGGATAGTTTCCACAGAGTTGCTTGCTCTGTTATTAAATGAAATCATGTTTATACCACAGTCTTTTTCTATTGTATTTAAATAGTTGACAAAGATGAAGTAATATTTTAAACTACGTTATGCTTGAATTTGATTAAAGAATCAATTGGTAAATAATATTATGGTTTGATTAAATTACAGGTGGCTATATCTAGCCAACAAAAAACAAATTCAAGGGGAAAAATCAAAAGGTGTGAACGAATCTGGTGATGTTGCAAACGAGAAAGGTATTGACAACAAGGCTTACGAAACGGACGAGAAGAAAATTACAAATCCACAAGTAAACAAAGAAAATGACACTCAAGGCCATACGAATAGTGATAGTGTTAACCAATCTCAAATAGAGATGGGATTCACAGAAAGTATGATGTGTACCAGAAAATTAGAAATTTATTAGAATATTTGCATGGCATAGTAGAAACAGGGTATTGCTTCAGAAAAAAGCAAAATATGTGAAGCAGGTAGTAAAATTGAAAATTTATTGTGTATTGTAATTAAAATAATGAGATAGATTTTAATATGGAGAAAAATATTATTTAGTTTGCCATTTTTATAAGGACATAAGGTTGAATTTATTTTCAATTAGCAAAAGAAAATTGAGCTATGAGTCGTTGGTTCTTTGTAAATGTAAAATTAATATTAAGAAAAGAAGTATACGAACAAAAACTAAGATTGTAAATTTTCATCTATAGATTTGGTTGAAAGGCTTAAGATAACGCAGCAAGCTTTTTCGTATCAGTGGTTATGACCTTTAATAGGGGTTAATCATTAATAGACATCACAAGTCGCTACGATTGTGTTAAGTTGTGTAAAAAAGGTATACGATATTTGAAAATTTTGTTCTATATAGTAGAACTATAAATAGGGTATTTGACAGTATTAAAAATAAAGTGCTAATTGTAAGCATCTGTATTTAGAATGAATATTGGCAGGGGTTTTTACTATTATTACAGAAAATTTATTCATAAGTTTACTAAAAACCCACGAAAAAGCTAATAGTTTTCATATTTATTGTCACGTGATTGAAAACGCCTGGGATTGGCGGACAGTGGCGTAGCATGGGGGGGGGGGGGGGGGGGGGGGGGGCGGTCCGCACCGGGCGGCACTTTGCCAGGGGCGGCGCTGCGGAGGTGGCAGATAGAGAAAAAAAAAAAAAATAAAAAAAAAAGTTAATTTCTTTCAGTTTTTTTTCGTCATTTTTTTGTTGTTGTTACCAAATACCCAGGTACCTATGCAGGTTCTATGCATGGGTGATGCTTTTACCATGCCTCAATTTTTTTATAATGGATTGCAAAAATAAGAGGGCGGCAAATTTGGAATCCGCACCGGGTGCTAGTGACCTATGCTACGCCACTGTTGGCGGAGCCTAAATTGACGTCACACACTAGTAAATTTCCGGTCAAAGTGACAGTACATTGTATCGTTTGGCGTTTTAATGACAGTGGTGTGACGTCACACACCAGTGAGACGCCATATTACCCAGAGATACGTTTTCGCCGCAACTTGAAAATTGAGTTTTTGAATCAGTTATTTTTACTGTAATACACAACAGAATGATGAATATCCATCTTTTTTTGGACTCCATAAACATTGGTAAGTAACGTGGGATCGTTTTCCAAAACTTGTCAAATACTCTATTTGTATCGTATTAATCCCAGATGGACAGTATTTGAGGATTTTAGTCGATATCGTATCAATTAAGGAGAGTTTTTTAAACCAGTTTGATAGGTACCTAATTGTATATATATATGAATAACAATGGTATGGAATTAAGTTTGCTTAGGTCTTGTGATATAAAAATTATAACAATAAAAGCATTGGCTATATTTAGGACCAGTTGATATTAAGATTTTAATTTTTCATACGTATTATATTATAAGCTAACGCTACATTAGCCAAATCACTTAAATGGACTATAAAAATATTGCAGTGTTTGAATACATGTGATACTTATTTTTCATTGTTGATACCATCTGTTCAACTGTTTGTTATACCAATAGAATGTTCTACTAGTTCTACCTATCGAACAGATAGGAAATCCCTATACTAACTGAATGTTTTCAATAGACTAGCTGATTTGACTTTATACTTTATTACCTATTACTTAACTTTAAATGTACCTAATATTTTATGAACATTGAACAATTATACAAAAAATGGATTAAGTTACTGGCTTACTTATATTTAATGTTTATGACGTGTCAAAAAAAGTTATTTCATACTTTTGAAATTGACTTATAAAATAGGAAACGCGATGACAATTTAGCATAAATCTGTGATAATATGTTTTATATATTTGTAAAAAAAAATATTTAAATGTTCCTTCTGAAAGCAAGTGAGTTGATTCAATTTAGCTGGCTATAAAATGTTGATGACAATTTTATTAGTACTTAAGAATTTTTATTTTATGAAGAGTGCTCTGTAGATTATCTTTACGAGTAAACGTACTTAGACCTTAATAATAAAAGGTTAAAATGTTCTTGTTGTTTTATTTGATCGAAAAGTTTGTGGACAGGGTACAGAAAAGTATAATAATAATGAGAACGTACAATTTGGTAAATTGAACGGCAGCCACAGGTCAAGTTACCCGAAACTGTCATCCAACAGCTGACCGTGATGTTTAATTTAAAGTTTGAGATTTGAATTGAAATTTAGAAAAACTAAAAAATACAATTTTGAAATATGTTAAAGTCATGATAAGAGGACATTAGAAACATATAAGCGTGAAGTACTGAATCTATCGCTAGAACAGCCTGGAATGCATGAAATTATATGAATCAGAATTATATTAAATAAAATTTTATAGTCCCAAAATATCAATTTATTATCAAATACGAATAACATTAGCATATAAACATCTAAAATTTTAAGATAGTTGGTTACCACTATTGAAAAAGGGAAAATAATAGGTAAGTAAGTACGTACCCATACCCACATACAGATTAGAAGATGGAGAATTCGAATGCTCATCATAACAGTAATTAACTCTAACCTTGCTGAGGTAGAAAGTTCATACAATCTTACTCTAAATGCTAAGAATAATAATAATTATAAGATTTTGTTTGACCAAAGGCACGTTCGGTAGAAACGAAGATAAATTTAGTTTGCATCAAACATTACCAACTAAGGCCAACATGACCGAGAAAACGTAATCCTAACAATATGCATGGGTCAAACCAGGTGGACCACCATTTCCGGTTATAATAAGGTACTCTGTGACCACCATAGTGCGTAGCAGCAAACGACGTTGTTTTGAAATGCTAATGGTACGTGTTCGTCACACTGAAATTGCAATTGATGCGGCAAAAGCTATGTGCAGACCCGCAATGGAAACTACACTCAAAGCAAACGGGCGAATGCTGCGCGCGATGACAAGCGAATTGGCAACTTCGCGCGCTCTTCACTTTGATGATGTTGTACCAGGTTGTACCATTTGAGCTTTGATTATATTTACTCTCTAGACAGAGCGTGGCAGCGCAAATGCGTTAAAAAAATAACTCCCAGCTGGTGGGGTCAAAATGCCGTGTTCCGCGGTAATAGTTTGTCGGAATTATAAAGGACGAATAAAAATAACCAACAAAGTCATTTACAATACTCATTATCCACCTTAAAAAAATATAAAACTATATCATCATAATAGTAAAAAAAAATGGTTGCCTGTAAAGTCGGTTTTACGGGAGAAGATTTTACGTGACAACGTCTTTTTCTCGGTAGAATATTTATTGATATGAATATAATTAAATTGCACAATAGGAACAAGGAATTGAATGAAAATAAGAATTGCACAAATTTTAACTATAGAAATATATTTTGTTTACTAAAACATTGTACATGTAAACTTAAACTTAACACGAGAGACTCATCGTAACGTTACCGAGCGTTACACTTTTTCATAAGTGACTCCCAGCCGCAACCTAATTTAAGACGTTGTCACGTCAAAAAATAAACTAAAACTTCATTTTCACAGTGATGTCAGCGTCTCATTACAAAGTTCCCCAAAAAAATAAGTATGGCGTAATCAAAAGTAAGTATGGAGTTACAAAAATGAAGAAAGAGCTGATAAATAAAAATATACTGATGACGAACAAGTGAAATCTGCAATTTCTACCTGTTCTCAGGGGCTTGGCAAAACACTTTTTTTTTGCGATGGTATAAAACAGTTATTTGCAAAATCTGAAAAATGTATGAGGCTAAAGGGAAAATATTTTGAAAAAGGATAAATAATTTCATGTTTAATTTCTGCCACCTTCAGTATTATCCAACCAAAAAGTATTAGTGACGTGTTGGCAGGTTGCATTTGACATTAAATCGCTTTTTAATTCAGTATCGTAAAGGTAACCAAGGCATACACAGCAACAAAGGTATCCAATTTGACGTTTGTACGCACGCTGTTCATAGCAACACTATTTATTGGTCTATATGTAAAAATAAAATATTAGTCGACTTTATGAGTTGAATTTAAACTCTTTCTATGCTTTAGTTCTTATTCTGAGGTTAAAGGTGCAGCGCTTATAACTAACAGTCGGTTTCAATTTTTTTAACAAATTTTATTTAGACCAGCCCCTCTAGCATGACCACCAAAACCGATATATCACTTTCTCATATCCCGTTTCGGTGATCATGCTAGAGGGGCTGAGGCCCAAGCAGGAATTTTGAAAGCTCCTTAATCGTATCGCATTGTCAGTTTCTATGAAAACTAAGCAGCTACAAAATTTGACGATGACGATACGATTAAGGAGCTGTCAAAACTCCTGCTTAAGCTGGGCCTATGGATACAGAATTAAAGGAACATTTTATACATACAGCACAAAAGCAAGCTGTTGTTCCTAATTCAGAAGTACGATCAATAAGTAATGCAAAAATGAGATTACAAACATACAATAATAAACTTATATAAATACTGTAAAAATATAGAAATACCTTGTATAAGTTTTAAACAGTGACAACAAATACAAATGTAAAATAAGATTTCTACTTGTCGAATAATAGGTTGTGGTAATTAAACGTATTGTTCCAAAATCTAAGCCCAGTTGTGAGTTTTTGACACCCATTGATAAAAAACTGAATTTTAAATCATAAAGATTAAGAGATGTAACATGATTATGATTTAGCTTTAAGTACTAAAGTTTATATAAAAACTACTAAAAAAACGGCATAGCATCGATGTCTCTTACAAAAGCTATACCGTCAACAAGTCTATAGATAATGGGTCAGCACTTAAAATCCATTTCTGTAAATTATTTTAAATTAGTTCGGTTAATACAAAACGAAGTTACTCGCTGGCCAATGACTGGTAAAAATATTTTACATTGTGGGTCATAAGGTTGATTCCACATTTTTCTTTCTTCACCTTTATCGTTTTTTTCCAAGTTTCAGATATAATTTATAAAAGGAACAAGAGTTCTTTTTATAATATGAAAGGTCGTATGTGCAAAATAACATTTTATTATTTTCTTCCTTTGTGAGATAGTTGTTATTAGGTTCAACTTACACTGTTTTAAACATTGATCTTTGTTCATTGGAAATCGAATGCAACTGCATAAGTTTAAACAAGAAATAAAAAGTTATTACTCAAAAATGACAGAACGTAAAATTTAGTCTAACGAGTCCACAAATAAAACCGAGTCTCATTGAAAGAGTGCCATCTGTCGAAAAGCACAGTAGCTATATAACTATTTATAGTCAATAGTTATATAGCTTCTGTGCGTTTATGTAGTTCTCATTGAGTTTTAAAAACACACACACTGGCTTATTGCCGTTGGAAACAGTAAGTAACTTCTCCTTAAACCGTACATAGAACTTCGTAAATTGGATGGGGAATTTCATCCCCACCGAAAGAAATGTAAAGTGTCTTGTGGCTGGGATGAATCTGAAATATAAGAAAATAAAAGATTAGTATCATCAATATTACGAAGTTGGTAAGTTAAATTTTTCCAATGTTGATATATTCATTATAACTATTAAACTTTCGTTGCTGGTTTATATAGCTAGGGAACTGGTGGCAATGCAGGTATATGATTTCATCGTTGTTCATACCAAGACGTAATGTAGTCTGCA